AAGACATCCAGGTCCCTTCCAATTCTGTTATTCTATGATATTATCTCCTTAGAGAAGTACATAAAGTTAATGAAAGGCTGCTAGTTTTTACAATATGCGGTAAGTGATTTGGAAAAAAAATATAAAGAATATATCAAGTATAGATTTTCCAATTTCACATTTGCATTTCAATCATTTAACAAGCTAAAAAGGAGATATATTTTTATAAAAAGTTTTGTAGAAAAGAAGAACTAATCGCTAAAGGAAATTCAGGAGGTCCTCAATTTATAACCACAATTAAGCCCAAAATTTCTATTGTTCAGTGAGACATTTGTTAAGTGAATTTTGCCCCATTTACGACATTTCATCCCACAATTGTTAAGTGAGTCACTGCAGTTGATAACTTAGTAACATGGTTGTTAAGTGTTCCCCATTGACTTTGCTTGTCAGAAGGCTGCAAAAGATGATCACATGACCCCGGGATACTGCAACAGTCATAAATATGAACCATTTGCCAAGCATCTGAATTTTGATCACATGATCATGGAGATGCTGCAAAAAATGTAACTGTGAAAAAAGTTCGTAAGTCGCTTTTTTCAGTGCCGTTATAATTTTGAACAGTCACTAAATGAAAGGTTGTAAGTTGAGGATTACCTGGATATGGAAATACAAATTGCATTTTTCTCCAGAAAACATTTTTAAAAACATAATAGGTTTTCCACAAGATCCGTGGGTATATGAACTGAAATTCAAAATAGCATAAAGCCCACCAGTTTCCATGATCTTATCTACCTCAATTAAGAAAACTAATTTACACCAATGGAAATTAAATTAAATCGTACATTATTTTTTTAACCAGTGATGTCACACATTCTTAAATAAGATATTAAACAATTATTTAATGGAGTATGATCGCATATCACTAGATATACACAGAGGTTTTTAAAGCTGGGATCCTCAAAAGCTGTCCTGTATGTATCCTAATTTACAGCCCAAATGTTGGAGATGTGGAAGCTTAGATGCAACTTATTTTCATATTTGGTGGACTTGTAGAAATATAAAAACTTTTTGGATTAAGATTTGGTGGAACATTCAAAAGATTTTTAAGAGAAAGATAAAGTTTACGCCACAATTATTTTTGTTAGGTGTTATTGTAGATTTTGATGTTAAAGAAATTAATTTGATATTGAATCTTATAACAGCTGCAAGATTATTGGTGGGGCAATATTGGAAGAAAGATTCTTTGCCTACTATGGAAAAATGGATACTCAAGGTGTCCAATTTAGCAGAAATGGCAAAAAATTCCACTTATTTGAAGGACTATTCACAAGAAAGATATATCTCGGTTTGGATACACAGAGGTTTTTAAAGCTGGGATGCAAGGTTTCCTGGTTTCTGGACCAGCACTTTCACCACAACACCAAACTGGCTCTCAGTATGTTAGTGTGAATACATGTATCTATGTTTATATGTATATGGGTATGGGTGTGTATTGGTATGCTAATACACTGATAAAGTCTTAAAACTCAGTCAATAGACAGTAAAAGACAATAAGACAATAAAAGACTTTAGGCAGTGCTATATGGTGGAAAGTTTTAAATAGGTCAAAGTTCACTGCAGAAGAACTTCAGAATTTTATTTTAATTTATTCATATTCAAACAAGCAGATAAAACTAATAGTAGGCTTTAGTTAAAAAGTATTAATATAACATCTGTACAATCAAAAGAAGAAAGGAGTAGGCCAAATACCCAGAGTAATAAAAGAATGCTAATAAAAGAAACTATTAAAATGTTAACTAAATCACTAGACCAAATTAATTTACATATTTTTTATATTTAGTATTTGAACTATTATTGACAGTTCTATGGAAATGTGGGCTGAACCGGATGTAATTCAAATACTTCCAAGGATAAAACAAAGCTACCTCCTTTCCTGACAGCTTTTGACTTTTGATTTAGAGCCATTAGAGCCATTATTAATAAAGGCAGGAAATAATGAATTTAAATGCCAGAAAAAGATCCTCTTCTAAATGCCTACGTGACTGATACTATGTTTTGCTTATCAAGCCCCTCAGCTACTACAGTAGTCTGCTGGTATGCGAGGACAGAAGCATTCTTGCAGCTGGGGGTGCCACTGCATGTGCCCCCAGCCAGAACTCCTCAGGAAGCACCAGCCCTGCCTCCTCTGGAGCAGCTGGTGCAACAAGCGCCAGTCTTGTGTCAAGGCGTCAGCTCTGCTGGCCTCATTCCAGAGGTTCAGAAAGTGACATGATGTTTTGAGTCTGATGCATTTTCCTCTTGTCTTCAGGGTAGGGGGAAAACTCCTTCTGGCTATTTGAAAATAACCTGTGAGATTACCCAGTTTTCTGCCACTGTTTGTACATTACCAAGTAAACCATTACTTAGATCTGGAACTTCTTATACTAGCATTTTATTTAGATTTATTTTAGTATCTTTGTTCTTAATTTTTTTAGATTCTATCGCATTTTTTTTTGTTATGCATAGAACCTTTTATTAGATACTGGTTTGTATTTGACCTTGGGACTGTAATAAATTTGAGTTGATTTGAAAAGGAGACTATGAAATCTATGGACCACACAAATAATTTGGAGGACTGTGTCAACATTCAGCATTCAAGAAGATCTTAACAAAGTGAAGCACCAGGCAGTAACTGACAAGATGAATTTCAACAAAGAGAAATGCAAATTTGGCAATTTGGCAGGAAAAATTAAAAGTTTGGCAGGAAAAATGAAAAAAAAATGAAAAACAGAGCAGGGGGTTGGGCTAGATGACCTTCAAGGTCCCTCCCATCTTCATCATCATCATCATCACCATCATCATCATCATCATCATTATTATTATTATTATTATTATTATTATTATTAAGTTTAGTTTTAGGAGGAGGAATAGAAGATCATCCGAATAGGAACAATGCATACAAAAAGGAGATGAGCATTTTGATCTATCAAAAGTTGCATACAATCAAAACTTTGCAATAGTGGTGAATATCTGTAGCTTGGGTGTAGGATGAGGGTGAAAGGTTCGTTCTCCGAGCTGAAGATGCTACCTAGCCTGGTAATGAAAAGTTCAGAAACCAACCCACAAGCTCGGAGAACGAACTTTCACCCACAATCAAAAGTGTGATGCATCTCCAAGAGAGGGAGGGAGGGAGGGAGGAGAAAAAAAGTGAAACTGTAAGCTGCGTCAACAGCAGGAACAGTGCCTGCTAGATTTTCAACAAAGTTTGAAAGTATAGTTTTCGATATATGGGGCTAGTAGATCTTTTTCAAATAGTTATGGAAGATATTTGTAGAATATATGAAAAATCACAAAAGTAAGATGATAATACTGGAAGTGTGTAAGAAAAGCTGAAAAACATAACGCATTGCCTCAACCAGAGTAGTTTTATTGCAAATATTGTTTTGTGGGGTTTTAAATAGCTACTGTAAATGAATGTATTATCTGTTGATGCTCTATACAATCTTGCATGTATTTCATCTTCTTCAATAAAAATTAGGCGTTTTAAAAAATAAGTTCCTGGCTCTGCTTTTCTTTATTCTTTGCCAGAGACTCTTGATTTTTAAATTTTTTAGCAAAGATATTTTTAGCGAGCATAAAACAGATCCCCAAATCCCTGCATTCCCATTGCAGGCATTTGCTTTTCTTTCCCTGTCTAAATACATTATCTCTGGGTCACAGTAAGACTGCATGCTGGTAGTTTTGAATGCCTTTTTCTCAAGCAAATTTCAGAATATATTCCTACCATTCAGATTCCTTATTAGGTTTTATTTTGTTTAAAAGGAAAGACAATTAATTATTTCTGATCATTTCTCTGCCTGATTCTTTAATATAAACCTTCAGTTGATTAAATCCTTCTGACTTACATTTATTTATACAATAGTTAACTACTACAGTTAGACAATGTTACAAATATAACAACATCTAAAATAAGAACTTCTCTGGAAGCTAGGAAAGAGTAATTAATAATTACACAAGTAGTAATGATATAAGTGATCTATAAAATATTTTAGAAACTGTATCTTTTCTAATATACAATGCTCCATGGCAGTAGGGATTAGAGGTGCAGACATGCATTTAATAGGGCCGATCTCTTATTATGTACTTCAGATATGTCTCATTGTAATATGATTCTATAAAACCTATAATTTTTAAAGCTCTTTTTTTTAAAAAAATTGCCATTTGTGAACATATATTTGTACATAATATACAGTATATTCAGTTTCAAAGATTGTACATAGGAGTGAACAATCTTCAGGGTAGGAGGGTCTACTTTGTTTTTTTATTAAAAACTTGGAACCCCCCCCCAATCTGGAGAGAAGTATAGGAAATAGAATTAAAGAATTCTGAATTCAAAAATGGTTTGAACTCTTAACTTGAAATAAGGCTTGACTTTCTAACTAACAATGAAATCCTTTTGACTAACCAAATATTTTTCATTCAACCATTTAGGGTGCAGACAAAATTCTTTTTATTATTGTTAAATAACTGCGAATATATTGCAAATCACCCCAATATCTCCTGGTAATGGAAACCTATGTTCTGCCTCCCGTGTCCGCAATATATTAACCTTCCTAAATTTGGAGGAGTCAGTTTACAACAGAGAAGCAATGGGGCCTCAGCCCATTAGTTTTCATTTCCCCACTGATCACCCTCCTTTTATATTTTATTTTCATATTTTAAAGTTAAGAGGGCTAAAGGCCTTCACTTAAACTTTGTTTCTGGGCGGTTCAAATACACACTGAAAATGATGAGTCACATGATCAAATGCTTCTTCGTATGCTCCCCGTCCCCATTTTATCCAGGTAAAAAGGCCGTTCTCAGAAATAATGACCATGCACACACTTATGCAACTCCTCAGAATGCAGATTGGGTTTTTCTTCCATAGTGTGAGAAAGAGCAAAGCATGCAGCTCCTTTGCCTCTCTATCCTTTGAAACCACTTAGTAGTCTTCAAAAGCACCACTATGACAGGGTATTTTTTCAGGAGAAAGAGAGACCTACCTGCCAGAGAGCAAGAAGGACAAACGATCTATGGGTGTCTTGCCCTCCACAGTGTAAGTTTGATCTTTGGCCAAAGGCAAGACCTGTTCTTCACAGCACTTGACTATTTCTTTGTAAGTTTGGAGAGGCACTTGCAAAGGCTGGCAAATTTGTTTGTACAGGAGATCAAATTCTTCAGAAAAAGTGTCTTTACGGAGTTGGTAAATTAAATGTGCTAGCTGAAACAAGCAGATCAGAAATAAAAGCACATTCCAAATGATGATGTCTAATCCACAAGCGTTGAGCCAGCCCCATATGGCAGAGCAAAGAAAGCCAATGGACAACAATCCAAAAATATAGATGGCACCAAAGGTTCCACTACCTCCCATATAGCCAAGGAGGAGGAAGAAACTAGCGAGGTGATAGGCTGCTCCTTCCATAATGTATTTCCAGTTCTCACACAAAACTGGATTAAAAATTATCCGATCCAAAAGAGTGTTTTCTTCACTCATTTTCCCGTAATTTCTACACCTAACTCACTTTGAAATTAATGGAATACACTGAAGCCAATTCCCACACCGACACCTCTATGGAGATTTTAGAGGAACATTTCTGAAATTATGTATTTGCATCCAACAACTCCTGCAGTTATTTTCTACCAATTGCAATCAATACCCCGCCTTCTTGATGGGATTTGAGACCTGGCTGATGAACTTGTAGAAGCATGAGAAATTCTATCCCGGAAGTGCCTTTTGAGAACTGGAAAAATCAGAGTAGCTAAGAGTATTTGCAGCTTGTTCTCTCTCTCCCCTGCCTTGAGATAAATTAAAATAGACACAGTGAAAGAGCAGCAGGGAGAGCTAAAGGGGTGGGGAAGACAAGCAGAGGGCACTAGTGTTTAATTTGGAATGTATAGCACTGAGGCATGAAAGAAGAGCAAGGCACTACATAGATAACCATGTTTGGAATTGGAATCCAAGAAGCAAAGGCTAGAACGGGAAGAGAGACCAGCCAGACATTTGCCACTTAACATAACTCTGAGAACTAGATTACAGAGCATTGTTTGTGAATACTGCGCAGAGTTCTGTTTGTTCTGATATCCTTTATCACCAGAGTATTTTTACATGGAGGAGGATGAGGAAGAGTTCATTATTACAACTAAAGCAATAAATTAAGAGACTAAAAAGGATTTGAATAAATATCTTCATAATATGATATATAATCATACAGAAAGAGTGGTGTGGTGTCCACTCAGAAGGTTGAGAGTTCAATCCTAAGTAGTGGCAGATATTTCTCTCCTAGAGCGCAAAGAAAAAATATCTACTGCGAACTCTGTGACGTCAGGAAGGGCATCCAACCAGTAAACACTCAGCTTCATTCAGCCATTCTGACTCTACCCCAAATTAAGAGATTGTAGGATCATAAAAAGGGAGTTTTATATAATAATACAGAAGATGCAGATAGCTGGGATACTTAAGAGAATATCAGCAGAAAATCAGAATAGGCAAGGACGATTCCTTTTCTGAAATTGAAGCTGGTTTCTCCCACCCCAAGTAATTTATAATTAAAATGAGAAGGTTGTCTTCAATTAACTGAGAATATATTAAATGAAGCAGGTAAGAAGTTTAGTGTCCAATTTTACATTTGAATTGGTATAGCTTATATTCAGAGTTGTCTTCCATTTGGGAAAATATCAGTTATAGAAAGAAAATATAGTCTTTATAGTACTTTCTAGGATTGCTGGCTCCCTTGTTTTGTGGAATACTTTGAATCTATTCCTGGCAACATGGGTCCAGAAATAGGGACAGCTTGTGAGTGTGCTACATCTTGCATAGTGCATTCTTTGTTTCTTCACTCTCCAGTGTGCATTCTTGTCTAATTCTAAAGGGATTGACTGATCCAAACAAGCATATTAGTAACTGGAGTTGAAGCACTCTGACATAATACAAAAGGAACAATTCTCCCAATTCCTAAACCAGATAATTTTTGTCAAATCTATTCTGTACTCAGCGGAAAGTTTCAGTTTTGTCATTGTTGTTTAATTATCAGAACGTTTTTATAATTGCTTTGGGATGGCACCAGTGTATTCTTTTTCCAATGCAGTGAGATGAAGTGACTTTTATTCTTATTAATATTTTTCAGCTATTCCATTTATGCAAACTTTTACTTACCAATTTTTTAAACTGTGATTTAAAGGAAATTGCAAACTATGTTGGAAAAAAATCTAAAAAGAGTGATGTTGTTCCCACTGCGTTTACTGGGTGGCATGATTAAATCAAAATTCATCAACACTTGGGAGGATTTTAAATCCATTGAATTTTCCATGTTCGTCCTACCGTTAGTAGTACATCCTCCTTATCAATCCCACTGAAAGATCACTAGCATGTGTTTTATCAAATATATCCACATACATATTATGCTAATATTTTCAAATTGCTTGGCAGTATGAGCGAAAATAACAAGAATGAAAATATAAATTTATAAATCACATGCTCTCTTCAGAACATGAGAAACTGGAATGAGTTTACAGGCTTTTACTTTAGGCTTATTATTGGACAGAGGAGAACAAGAAAGTTAAACAATGAAAATAAATAGTTTGAGGTATTTTTATGATTTTTATTAAAAATGTTTTAAAAGGATTAAAAACTAATGCAAAATATTTTAAAATAAAGAAAAAGAGAAAGCAAGCAAAACATTGAAATTAGGAAAGAAGTAGCTTCCAGTGTTCTTCACATATTTAACCTGTCTAAAAGTTATATCATAATACTTTTTGTCTATAATTTAGCCTAATCATGAAAATTATAAATCACAAGGGTTTTTTTCCCCCATTTTTATGCAAAAGGTTCATAAGAGATTTCCAGAGCCAAAATGTTACCAAGATAGTCCTCAGAAAATAATGGAATTTGGGACTAGAATTTCCATCGCCCACCTATCTCCTTTCCTTCTTCCTGTCTGGGGGTTGCCTTACACCCCATTACCTCTGGAGGGTGAGGAGAGCACAGGTCAGCAGCACCAGGTGGCAAATGGAGCATTGAGCAGCAGGGAGGCTAGATAGTCATGGCAAATGGAGTGCAGGGAGAGCAGAGTGCAAGACAGCAGGGCTGGCGAGATGAACCAAGCACAGGGTGTAAGGCGCAGCTGAGGCTTTGCACTATGGTGCTGTGGTGGCAGGTTGTGGCATGGGGCTTGAGACAGCACTCCTTGATGGTGGAACTGGTCTGAAATAGAAGCCTGGAGGCTGAGGCAGCTGGCTGAGACTGCAGAGAACCCTGGGCACTTGGTCAGCACCAGTGCTGCCACCACCACCAAGGAATGCCAGTTGCACAATGGTCAAAAGGGCAGAGATGGTGGAGGAGTTAAAGAGCCCCGGCCAGCATGTGGTCAAAATTCCTAAGTGTGGGCAGGCTGACAAGCATCGGAATGGTAGTCATAACAGCTGTGGTGTACAAATCAGTATATGAACCTGAAGAAAGCAAGAATGATTTCCATATATAGAAAGATACTGAGATGTATAGGGGAATATTTTAATGCAAGCTAGTTTTAGTTAGAGTACAATTTTTTGTGGGGCTTAAAGATACTGGATTAGAAATGAGACCACAACTCCTGTTTTAGGCATGAAAAGCGGCTGGGGGACTTTAGGCTAACTGTAGTCACTCTCAATTCTGAGAAGTACTGTCCAGAAAGAATAATGAGTAATATTGTCATAGTACAATTTTGCATGTATGCACAAAAATATATGCTGGCTATCCTATTTCCCCTGTCACACTGGTGAAGGCATCCAGAACGATGCAACAGGAGCTATCTCAATGAGCATGTCCAGGTAGCTGATAAAAACATTAAGTTCCAGACAAAAATCAGAGGTTTATAAATGAAATTAACGTGACTTGAACATACAGTGTAAGATACTCGATTAGGGTATATATTAGCATTATAGTCTCTTAACTGCTTGCCTTAAAGAAGTATGAAAGAAAGTAAGAGCTGCTGCCAGCCTGGATGAGAACGCATTTGGGTTATTGCAATGCACTCTACGTGAAGCTGCCCTTGGAAGATTATCTAGAACTGATCCAGAATGCAGCAGCACACACAGTAAGGTAGCCAATGTAGCACCTGTTGTACAAGCTGCACTGGCTTGCAGTTTCTTTCCAGATGCTAATCAAGGTGCTGCTTATCACCTTTAAAAGTCTGTATCAGCATTCCCATCTTGGTGGGCTGGCCTGGGGGGGGGAGGATATGTGAGTGGCAGGCACACACACTTGTTCACAACTCCATTCATGCACAAGTGGAAGGCACTCACGTGTAAGGGCCCACTTTAAAACCTCATCCCAAGAAAGCAGGACTCTTGGAACATTTCCATTCCAAAGGAACTTTTACTAGGAGAAGTTGACAGCAGGCAAAGAAGGCAGGATCTGAGGGTTTCCCACTCAGATCAATAGGTTAAAGGAGCATCAAGCAAACCCCACCCCAATAGTTCATCCGGTCAGTTCAAATGAGCCAATCCCTAGGTGTTAGATCTGCTGTGGGAACACAGCTGATAACAGAGTCCGTTCCCATGCCTGTGAAGATGTTGTTGGGTCTTTGCACCTTTCTCTTCTGCAGCACAAGATAAGCCAGATGGCCGGAGGTACATTACTTTCTCACCCCAGGTTGACATCAAGGGGAAACAGTTCAAAGAGCAAGCAGATAGGAAAGGCAGAGCAGATACATTGTGACTAAGCAAAAGGAAAAATGATGCATTTCCTGGAGCCAAACCCCTGCCCCAGGAGAATGACAGAACCCACAGAAAGAACCCAAAAGGAACAGAACCAACCCCAATAGAGAAATGGGAAAGAAACAGAACCAATCCAATAGAGAAATGGGTTCTGACATCATGTTTATGTGTGAAGCTCCACTCATGAGTGGAAGACCCTTAAGCAGAGGGCTCTTGAGCTCGCATGGGAAGCTTCACTCACATGACCGGAGAGTGCGCAAGTGGAACTTCGTGCTCCGATCAAGCACCCTCCATTTGTGCAAGTGGAGCTTTACGTGCAAGTGCAAAGGCCTACCGCTCGCGCGATTGGAGCTTCACGCGCGTGCTTGCCTGCTGCTTGTGCAGCCCAGTTTTGAACAGGTTGCAGCCCAGTAGTAGGCTGCTGCCTGGGGACCCCTGGTTTATATGACACCTATACTTTCCCCTAAGAACATCTACTGGTCTACTAGGTCAGAGAGGGTGGGTCCTAAATATTGCTATCTAATGAAAGCTAGGGAGTGTGTCTTTCTTATGGCAGTCTCTTTCCTATATAACACTCCTGAAGTTCATATTACTCCTTTTTATATTACTCCAGACTGCAGGCTAGGGATAACTCTCTTAACTTAAGGAGATTCCAGTAAAATGTTAGGCCAGTGATGGCGAACCTTTTAGAGACCCGAGTGCCCAAACTGCAACCCAAAGTCCACTTATGCATTTTTGGGTGCCCGGTGGGTGTGGCCCATTGGGTGGGTGTGGCCCATTGAGTGGGCATGGCTGCAGTGGTAACAGCAGACTGGGTGAGACTAAAAAGTTCAATCAATCAATTCCAACTTTGCAAGATCTTTCTTTTCCTGCAAGAAGTTGAAATTGACTGATTGAACCTTTTTTTTTTTGCACATGGCAGCGGAGGCCTAAAGTGAAAAGGTTTTATAAAACCCAGCTGAAGGCCTAGAACTGGGACGACGGCACGCATGTTCACAGAGACGGCTCTGAGTGCCGCCTCTGACACCCGTGCCATAGGTGTTACCACTGTGTTAGGCAATTCTTAATGATGGGAGAAGGTGGTCAAATCTTCTTTGCTTGTTCTACTATAAGCTGAACAGAATTTTGTATTATTGCACTAAACAGGAGGCTGGACTTGATGACTTAAATGGCTTCTTCCAAACTCTTCATACTTTGAAATTAAAATGTGAACAATTCTTCTGCCACTTTATAGGCTTCAGGAAACTGAACAAAACTCAATCCATGCAGACAAATTTATTAATTTCAACAAAATTACCTGTATTCAGAC